GCACGAGCATCTTGTACAGTTACGTGAAATTGGATTCAAAGGAGTTATATGTCAACCTTACTTCATATAACATCACAATTTGTTGCTGATCCCTTGCGATGCAACTGTAAGTTGTTTAGTTATTTACAGCTAGCTGCACATTTTTTCATCTGAACCCACAAGTGTGAACTGCGGAGTCTATAAGGAATGTATAACGCAGTACAGAGGTGAGCTGAATATACGCGTGTGCTTGATGAACAATCCTATGCACCTGTCTTTACCAGGCTGTTACGGGAGCCTGACACCAACCCTACTTCTCTTTAGCATAATTACCATCATCCTTTCTTTTTTCATTTCTGATTGCTAGCATTAAGTTATAAAAAAATGTGTTCCACAAGGGCAAAGCAATGAATGTGATAGCAACAGATTATGTTATACGAAGTACGGCTGACAGCTAACTCTCTTAGATCCCATATAGCGTAATTCTATATATACCTGGAACGCTCTTCTAGCTGTCTCTTTGCGTTGAGAGCGCAACATGTACAAGGTTTATGAGCCATTCGCGCTAATGCCTGCAGAGATTGCATCCACGCCATCAATCTCAACCTTACAATCAAAGTTCACAGCTGCTGCTCGAGTGCTCATAGCCATGACAAAACCGCTAATATAACTGTTTCAATGAAACGGAAAGCACGTTGTTTCAGCCACGTTTTCAGGCATGGGGGCACATTGCAGCTAAATTGGGGAGCTGCAATGCAGTATGGCGCTGATAAGCGAGTTTGGCACAACAGGGGTGGTTCAGTGCAGCATGGCGCAGGTAAACAATTTGGCACAAAATGGCACAAATGGTGCACCTGTTCCACCTCTCCATCAGTTACAATTAAGAAAAAAAAAGATTAATGAGGAAATCTCCCTCATAACATCTGACAAGTGAAAACAATATTTTTTTTTTCCTTGCGAGATAAATATAAGAGCCAGTTAAAGGCCACTAGCTCTCTTAAGGGGGGAGGCTACCATCGGATACCAACTTTTTTGTTTATTGAGATATCTTAATGAAATTTTCAGGATAGACTTATAGCAAAAGCATTAGAAGAACTACAAAATTTCATCAAGTTATGTTTACTGGTTTTCAAGTTACAGCAGAATATCAGGGTAGTGCACATGGTTCTCTTATTCCAGGCCTGGAGAACTTTCAAAAGGTGCTGGAACTGTGAAATTAACTACGATGATTCCCAGATTGATACTCTAGGGGGTAACAGAGCCCTTTTTTTGAATTTCCTTGCTGAAAAGTTTTAGCAGACCATCAAACTGTGTTCGTGATTAGGATATTATCAATCAAATTTTGATTAAATATAATAAATAACACACACAATATATTGAAAAAATGGGCTTGTCACCCCCTCAGAAATTTATTCATGTACATAATAAAAAAAGACTTATGGAAATCTAATGAGTGGTTCCAGAGATATGGCTGAAATAAGCAGCCTCACTAGCCAAAAAAGTCATTTTGAGAAAACGACGTTTGAAAGTTTTGAGCACATAGGCAAAATGAACCTGCAGCGTAACTGGAGGTGTCCTTTGGCACTCTCTTTCTTTGCCGCCTTTCCATCTTCTCTAGGGATCGCTTGTTAGCCTTTTTCAAGCGCAGAGAATCTTTCTCGGCTGCCCGTTGAATGGCCAGGTGGCCAGGTGTTAGCCCCACTGATGAAGCTAGCTCTTGGGTGGCCCTGTAGCAGCCAGCATTGTATCTTAGCACTGCATCATGCAGTGCTGTCTCCACAGCAATCAGTGACGCATGCTGCTCTTTGGGCATGAGGGACCACAGCACAGAGAGAAAGGACTCTGATGCATTCTACGTCTTTGCTCCCAGGCAGCGTTGCAGAAGAGAAGCCTGTGAGAGCCTCTCATAAATGGGTAGAAGTGCATCTGCAACATAGCGTGGCAGCTTGTACGAATGCTTCGGAGGTGGAACACCGGTAATCTTGCTGGCATTGTGACGACACCAGGAGTCTGCACCCTCTGGGCACAAGTCGTGGTGCGGCTCCTCATCCGTCGACATCACATGGTGGTACGATGCCATCACTGCCCGCCGCATTGCAGCCACATCATCGGAATTGTTCCGTAGGGCCCAGCCATAACAATCTGTCAACTTGTCGATGAGGGTCTTTGTCAGCTTGCCCTTGCCTCCCAAAGCCTTGTCACTTTTCTGCACGAGGTTGCGAAGTGCAGTCCCCATCCTCTTCTGAACGTGGTTCAGGCATTCCTCTTTTGAAATGGGGACCAGTCCATAAACATTTTTTTGTACAAGGGCAGAGAAGGTGGCACTATCTCCATCACACGAGCGTTGTGTAACGGAGGTTGTGCTTCGACAGTGAGCGTGAAAAGAGGATGATAGCTGCCTCAACCTCCATTCTCCCCGATTTAGAGTCGATGTTTTTCTGGCACACATGATTCTCCAGCCAGCATGCATAGTCTGCGTCTCCAGGCTTTGGCCCTACTTGGCAACCAAGGCACTGATTAGACAGAACAACGGCGTCCAAGATAAGGCCCGTATGGTATTCGATAATTGCCCCGACTCCAATATGGGATGTGTGCCCACGCTTGTGCCATGTTCCATCATAACAAACTGTTATATCCCTGGTGAAATATTGATCCATTTCTTTGTAAGTGGCTTTTACAGCAGAAGCAGATTCTGCATAGAAATTTTCTATGCATTGTGTCTGCGGTTCCCTGAATTTCTTCAGGTGCTTCTGCAAGGTCTTGTGATGGAGGCCACGATGGGACACGTTCATCGCTGCCCAAAAGTCGTTGAGAGCTGTTTGTCCCTTGCCTATTTGTTTTGTTGTCATAATGGCTCTTACATTCACATCAAAGGCCTTTGTGTCATCCTGACGAGATGAACTCCATGAGCTTGAAACTACTCCACAATGCAAGCATACTAGCTCAAGCTTTGCAGCAAGACCAAGTTGGGTGCCTCCTCGTACCTTCATCCCGATCGCGGTGCACCGGTGGCACGGGGTCCGAGATAGCAGGTCGTCTAGGGCATCCATTTGCACAAAAAAAAATTTTTCGCCTTCACTTGTAGCGGTGGCAGCTTCATGATTGCGCTCCATTGCCTGAAATTTCCGCTCCGTCATCAAAGGCCTTTGTGTCATCCTGACGAGATGAACTCCATGAGCTTGAAACTACTCCACAATGCAAGCATACTAGCTCAAGCTTTGCAGCAAGACCAAGTTGGGTGCCTCCTCGTACCTTCATCCCGATCGCGGTGCACCGGTGGCACGGGGTCCGAGATAGCAGGTCGTCTAGGGCATCCATTTGCACAAAAAAAAATTTTTCGCCTTCACTTGTAGCGGTGGCAGCTTCATGATCGCGCTCCATTGCCTGAAATTTCCGCTCCGTCGCTGGCATAGCGCCAAGTTCTCTTTGCACAGCAGCGCGTTGTTGATCCGCCGCCTCTTTCTCCTCGCACGTCAGGAAACTTGTTCGCAAATGCACAGTTGACGACGCGATCGCACTCGAGGCCGATGAAAGAGAAGATGCAGAAGCCACTGTCGATGAGCACGAGACACCAGGCGCACTTGTAACGACAAATTCTTGCACCGGCGGAGCAGGAGTCCCGTTGCTAGGCGCGTCGATGCGACCACTCTCTTGCGTAGACGAAGCAGAAGCAGCCCCACAGGTACCGTCGGCGCGATCACCGTCGGCGCACGTGCGAGCGGAGAGCCTCGCCGCGCGGACAAGCTTCATAGCTCGCTTCCTTGCACCGAACGATTGTAGCGTCTTCTTTTTCGTTGGGCGCATCGTGAGCGAACACAACAACGGTCTCGTATAGACGGTTGAAAATCGTCTCGTAAAGACGGTTAAAAAATCGTTTCGAAGACAGTTGAAACGTGGAGAGTATGCGAACGGCTGCAACGATACACGGAAGCGAGCGGAACACAAAGACGCCGGACGGAAGAGCAGCAGACGAGCGGCCGCATCGGCCGCATTATGCGCAAGAGCGCTACGTCATTGCGCGCAGACGCCAATGGCAGTCGCGGGCTCCCCCCGCGTCCTTGGGGAGCGCGCGCTTCGCCCAATCCCAGCTGCGCGCCTCAGCCGCGGGAAACTTGAAAGCTCTCGCGAGCCCTCCAATTATGGGCGGCTTGCTCCTCTCCTGCGCTGCCGCCGGCGACGCAGGTGGCGGGGAAAGAAAGAGCAAGAATTCACAAACAAAACAACACCGAAATGGCGGCGCTCCATCGAGCGGTCGAGAAACTGCGATCACGCCAAGTTGGGGTATTTTGAGCGCTCGCGCGCCGCTCGAGGACCGCCGCGGCATGTTCTAAACTTTATTTCAAATGGTTTCGCGACGAATTAGACGTTGATATTTACAGAAAAGGTAGTTTATGACACATACTGCCCGAATATGTGGTTTGCCAAAAATAGACTTTTTCGCGATTTTTCGGTTTTCAAAGGCCGCGTCCCCTCTTAAGTAGACAAAATTTAAGAACAAGAGTACAGTTCCTGGTATACAGAGCTGATTGATTGATATGTGTGGTTTGACGTCCCAAAACCACCAGATGATTATAAGAGCTAGACGCCGTAGTAAACGGCTTTATAAATTTCGACCACCTAAGTATATAACGAGTACCCAAATCTGAGCACACGGGCCTACAACATTTCCGCCTCCATCGGAAATGCAGCCGCCGCAGCCAGGATTCGATCCCGCAACATGCGTGTCAACAGCCGAGTACCTTAGCCACTAGACCACCGCAGCAGGGCAGGGTATACAGAGCTGAAACCAAGACAACCAGTTTACCCTCTGCCATACTCCCTAAAATATTTGTTTCTACTCATGACACTCCATGAAATGTGGCCTTGTGAGAAAACAGACATGTACAACTTTGCCTGTAAGTGAACCTTGCCAGAATAAATTCTTTCTGGTGTGATTCATGCTTCTGACCTTTCCAAAGCTTTATGCACTTCATTCTCAAGTTTTCACTACTGAGCAACAAGCACAATAAGCGACTGCATACCTCAGATTCTGCGAACTTGCACTTGAAAAATTCGACTAAATCGATTCCCTTCCATCCAGAAGCTCGCAGCTCAATCACTTCAAGGAGCCTCAGGCGAGCTATCGCATCTAGCCTTTCATCCCGCGATGCATTACGCAGCGTGACAAAATAACAGTCCATTTGATCTGGGTAGAAGGAAAGAAAAAAGACCACATCAGACAGAATGTACAGGATTCCAATGAGCGCACAAAATTAGCCCTCAATGACTGATGGCACCTGATAGTACACTCACTAGTACAACATATGTCGCATATATTTCTCAAAATACTACAGATACAGTTACAGCCAAGTGCGACATTCAGTATAGATCTTATGCGAAATTGCTGCCGTCTGTCGGCCATCATGTGAAACTGCCATGTTAGAGGCTCAGCGCAGCGCAGTACGCATAGTCGGCGCATCGACGTGAGGCGTGTATTGGCTGATAATCCCAATGCCGACACATTGCTGCATCTCTTGATGCACACACAGAGGAACTCAAATGCTGAAGGAAAAAGAGTAAGCGGTAAGCTTTGCCCCTTGTTGTATTTTCAAGCTGATGCTGCTTCCAGCACGTGCTCCGGCTACTGCTCTCGAAACACGTGTTTGCATTCTCCTTTACAAGCAAGTAAGATGTGCAATAGCATTTGTGCTTGTGCTCCCTGCATGCCGAAGCAAGACAGTTTTTGTAACGTGTTCACTATCAGTCGTTTAACAAGTGAAGGTGGCTTGTACGCTGCATGTGGAAGCCACGTTCACTCAATGAGCTTTATTGCAGCTAATTGCACGTGCCTGCATTTCGTTGAATGTGTTGAGCACTTCGAATGCTTGAAAAACATTCGCAGTCAAGAGCAAGTCATCTCACTAAAGGGCAGGCAGCTTGTCACCCTCCAGAAGAGAAACCGAAACAACATGAAATGAAGATGCTTTGGCACCGTGGCTCCCTTCTCAGAATAAACCAATGACGTGCACTTGCTTGTAATTCAGTGTGTGCCGTTACCGAAACGTAACAAACAAAACAACACATTCAATGAAATGTAGGTGCGCACAATTAGCTGCAATAAATGTCGTTGCCTGAACGTTTATGTTTGAAGCATACGAGTCGCCTGTACATGTTAAACGGCTGATAGCGAAAGCGTTGTCACAAAAACTGTCTTGCTTCGGTGTGCAAGAATTTGAGGGAACACGAGTACAAATGTTATTTAATGTCTTACTTGCTTGAAAATGAGAACTCAAACACGTGTTTTGGGAGCAGTAGCCAGAGCACATGCTGAAAACGTCATCAGCTTGAAAAAATTAAAAGGAACAAAGTTTACGGCTTACCTTATTATCTTTGGCATTTAAAGTTCCTCTCCGTTTGCAGCAAGGGATGCAGCAATACGTCGGCATTACGATTATCAGCCAACACACGCCTCACGACGTCGATCCACCTTACGTGTACATATACATAAACACAGGTGGACTGTGCGTACTGCGCTGTGCTGAGCCTCTAACATGGCGGTACGCACACGACAGCTGACAGATGGCAGCAATTTTGCATAAGGCCTGTACCAAATGCAGTGGTGGTCCAGCCAAATTATATTTTGAAGCAATTTTTGGAGCCGGAAAATGTCTGTTTGTAAGAGATTCGGAGTAGAAGAAAATGTGTTTTGCAGCAGATTCGGTGCCGCAATAAAATGGGATTTAGGAACGCTTGAACCGGCAAATGGCAAAATTTTCAGTGAATGTTCTTTTTAGTGTGCATACTAGAAATGGTGCTACAATATAAACATAGAGACAAGGCCAACACCCAGAGAGCAATCGTTTGAGTTCTTATTACAAAAGTGTCACATTTTGGCTTCACTGCACAGCACAAGGTGTGCACTAGTAGAGTGAAGCACTAGAAATGAGGCAAGCATGGCACATATCGTTCCTGTGAATGACAGGTGCCATAAAGTCAACCGAAAAAGAAGAAAAATCCAAATCTTAAAGACAGCAATCTAACAATTAAAGAAGGAAGACTATAAAAACTTGTGGGTAATTATAAAATACTGTTTGAAATTGCCTGTGTAGACAGTGTACTCAATATTTTCCACAACTCACTATGAATGACTTTTCATCGTACTAAATAAATATCAGAGGTGCGAGCCCCAAGTGGCATTCTCTTTCAACAACTTCTGATCAAGCACTAACTTCCAGTTTCCCAGATATTCAGAACCAGTCACCTAAAAAATAAGGCACTGGTAGAAAGTAATCTGGTACGAAAAGGGCGGTGTCGGTGAACATGATTGATTGATATGTGGGGTTTAACGTCCCAAAACCACTATATGATTATGAGAGACGCCGTAGTGGAGGGCTCCGGAAATTTAGACCACCTGGGGTTCTTTAACGTGCACCCAAATCTGAGCACACGGGCCTACAACATTTCCGCCTCCATCGGAAATGCAGCCGCCGCAGCCGGGATTCGAACCCGCGTCCTGCGGGTCAGCAGCCGAGTACCTTAGCCACTAGACCACCGCGGCGGGGCAGTGTGTCGGTGAACAAAACAAGAATGAAGAGAGAAGGGGAGGCTACGACAGCGTTAAGAACAAGTCCACTTATTGAATTGTTGGCATTAGCGATGACCCGTGAACATGAATTCTTTAGCCTAATATATGCTATCCAGATGCGACTGGCAGGTATGAGTTCTTGTGCTACTCATCTGCTTGGGGAATACGTACGGCGACCCACTAACAGGTCAGATGACAACAGATTGGTCAGGAGGCAGCAGTGCCATAGACATTTTAAGGGGGGAAGGTGAACCACTCATTCCTCCAATACCTCCCCCCCCCCCTGGATCCACTGTTGACAGGGGTCCTAAGACTGGTTCCTGGTAGTCTGTTTCAGGGTTAAGCAAGGGCTGAAAACTAAAGCCACTACATCTAGTCTGTTTTCTAAATTTACAGTTTTGCAATGCACTTTGAACTTAACGAACCCACCACACGCCGCAGTTAGTAGCGAGCCATTCCAGCAGCAACACTCAATGGTAATCAATTCGCAATATGTGAACAAAGAGCGGCCGTGCTGAGCACGTTTGCAAGCGTAGTTTTCAACAAGCATGGGAAAGAATCAGTTGGAAAGATTCGCAAGCCGGCAAGACTGATCTTTTTTGTCAATTGACGATTATACTAGCCAATGGCATTTAGCATGCAAAAGAGCACTCGTTCTTTATTTGCAGCTGACTGCACAGTCGAGTTTCTAAGAGCGCTGGCTTGCCACGGCCTTACGACGGTTTAACAATCCAGACACGCAATGAGTGCTAGGACATGCGCAAGCAGCAGTCGCATCACATCGTGCCAGACACGCTCTACAAGAGCACTTAGACTTAGCTTTTCGATGCCAAAGAACGTTGTGCAGAGCGATAAAGAGCCGTAAACTTTTTTTGCGAGACATCAACCTTGCACAGCCGAATCTTCATTTATGTGAAGCTGCCGTTTGCAGTATGCAGTGCCGATAACTGTCGTCACTAGGCCTCAGCTGCTACAAGACGGTGTCTGGAGTGACTAGTGCACAAAAAAAATAACTTTTCTATATGTTATCGCAACTTCTCTAACAAATAAGAGAGAACAGCATGATAAACTTTCAACAGAGACTAACACGGCAGTGCAGACACTTTGGTTAGGCTGATTATAATGGCAACAAGCGCATCACTAGAATGGAGTGAGGGCATCAGTGGCATTAGCTGTGTTTGTTGAGACCAAGAATAGCTTTAGACCATATATGGCCTGATGCCGTGTAAAACTCTAATGTGTGCCGCAAGGCACAGGAATATGAAATTGCAGCAGAATAGCGCAACTGGAGCAGTTGGACCACCACTGAATATGAGAAGGTGAATGTCAGTTTGATAAACACACAGCACAAGGACATCGTTTCTTTTGCATTGGATTTTCAAAGTGATGTTACCATAGTGTGATATACAGAATAGAAGATTACACTGAACCACAGGCCCTATGTCTCATTAGCCTCCTCCGTCCTAAGTTTGAATCTTTTGACTTAATTCTGCCACCTTAGTGTGATAACTCACTGAAAAAGTCCCTGAATTTTTCTAATTTTTAACTCTGCAACTTTGTAGCCATAGCTACACAAATGACCCCTGAACTGCTCAGAAACTCTTGATTGATTGATATGTGGGGTTGAACGTCCCAAAACCACGATATGATTATGAGAGATGCCGTAGTGGATGGCTCCGGAAATTTCGATCACCTGGGGTTCTTTAACGTGCACCCAAATCTGAGCACACGGGCGTACAACACTTCCGCCTCCATCAAAAATGCAGCCGCCGCAGCTGGGATTCAATCCCGCGACCAGCAGGTAAGCAGCCGAGTACCTTAGCCACTACACCACCGTGGCGGGCTGCTCAGAAACTCTTACATGACTGGCAAAGTCTAATTCTTCATTCAACCCCATTTTATCGCAAAAGGAATTTATGCACCTTCATTGGTCAATACTGCTGAAGGCATACTGTACAGCTTATTAGCAAATGATCCAGATGAAAACTGCTTTTCTAGCTGCATAGCACAATCTTCAAATATATCAAACACTGAACCATCTCCTCAGTCATCAGTGAATTGCTTTCCCGCCTGGCTGCCGTGCTGAAATGTTCAATGCTGCTACACTAGAATATTACAAATTTAATTCTGCTCAAGGCATTCTTTAAAGGGGCCCTGAAACACTTTAAGTAACGATGGAATGAATTCACTAGAAGAGCTTATTGCCTCACAAATTCAATGCCACAAAATTTTAAGAATCCATCCAGTGCGAGTGGAGTTACAAAGGTTTGCGCATGCTGAAATTGCATTCTCTTTTCTCTCGCCGAAAGTGCTTGAAGCGAAACAGGGAGGGATGGCAGGGCCACAAAAAAACGTCATGCACACCTTGTGACCTTGAGCAATTCTTTCTCTTTTTTTTTCGAATGCGAAATTTTTTTTAGCGTGATCGCGCGCACGTGTGGACAAGTAGCAGGCTCCCGTGCCGATCTTTGTAACGAGCGAGCGCGCCATGTTCAAATCAGCTAATGGTTAAAGAAGAGCCAATGATTGATAAATGGGCTTACTACGTGTGGTTTTTGGGCATATTGAGTAATTTGTCGAAAGAAGAGAAAGCAATTTTTACCAGACTTTGATCCTTTATT